TAAGGGAAATCGGCCTGACGACACTGGAGGACAGGAGGATTAGGGGAGACATGACCAGCCCTGTGAGAATGGCACAAAGTATGCATCCCTCTATCCACTTGACAAACAATCCTTAAACACCAGGTGCTCAGCTGTACTAGGCATGTTTTTCCTGATGCAAGGACATTAACAGAATGACTCACAAAATTGTAATGACATGATTGCAAATAAACCATACCATGGGGCTTTGAGGGGACTTGAGCTAGAGTTCGTCACCCCCATGCTAGTGGGAGATTCGTCTGTAAAAATTGTATTTGTGGTCACAGTGGTGCCTATGCTAACCTTCCTATGGTGTAGAAATATACCTAGATGGATGAATCTTAATGAAGCTAGCTGGCCCAGTGGCTAATGCATCGGTCTGGAATTTTGAGACTCTTTGATCACGGGTTCTAACCCCACCTGTGGTCTGGTTTACATTAACAGAATCATTAACAGAACTACAGCCAAGCCCCAATTCTGTTAATGATTCAAAATCCTGTTTCGTGATTTCTTTAATATACAGACAAGCACCTAAAGTCGGTTCCTGACCAGCCGGGCTGTGGCTCGTACGTTGGTTTGCGTGCAGCCAGCAGCAACAGCCTGGTTGATCAGGCTCTGATCTACGAGGAGGCCTGGTCACAGACCGGGCCGCGGGGGCGTTGACCCCCGGAACTCTCTCCAGGTAAACTCCAGGTAGACAGCTCGTGAAGGCTGGTACCCCAAACATGATGATGCTGAAATTAGTCTCTGAGGCTCCATGACCACATACATCTTTGCATCAGGAAAAACACACTCAGTACAGCTGAGTGCCTGGTGTTTAAAGATTGTTGGTCAAATGGATATAGGGATGTGTATGTTGTAAAGTTTTCACAGGGCTGGGCATGGGAAGCAGGATCGAGTCCTGGCCAAGCCGCAGTTCTGTTAATGATATATATGTCGTGCTTAATACGTAAAACTTCCGACTTTTGCTTAAATAAGAGTGCTCTTCTTGCTGAATAAGGCAAGTGAAAATTCGTTTATGCAGTAATTTCTCAAAAATTATTCTGAACCTAACGATTTTTATTATTTTATTTGTTCATTTATTGTTAAATTATTGTATACATATCTAAAATTTATTTAGTTGGATCAGGCGTGTAGAGGAGTGTAGAGGAGAGAGAGAGAGATTTTGAGAGATGTTAAGCAAATGTACAGGAACTTTTGAACCACGTGAGAGAGTAATTAGGGTAGGGGATCTAAATGCTAAAGTAAGAGAAACATTTAAAGAGGGTGTGGTTGGTACGTTTGGGGTACCAGGTGTAAATGATAATGGGAGCCCTTTGATTGAACTTTGTGTAGAAAGGGGTTTAGTTATAGGTAATACATATTTTAACAAAAAGAGGATAAATAAGTATGCAAGCTATGATGTAGGGCGTAATGACAGTACGTAGTTTGATGGACTACGTATTGGTAGATAACATGCTCAGTACTGCTGGACGCCTGGTGTTTAAGGATGGCAGTCCAGTGGATAGAGGGATGCGTGTTTTGTTTAGTTCACACACGGCTGGGCATGGAAAAGCAGGATTGAGTTCTGGCCAGCCGCAGTTCTGTTGATATGATATACGTATATATATATATATATATATATAATATATATATATATATAAATATATATATATTATATATATATATATATATATATATATATTATATATATATATATATAAATTATTTTTATTTATTTATTTATTTATTAACACATCGGCCATTTCCTACCAACACAGTTGGCCCAGAAAGGAAGAAACACTTTCATCGTCATTCATTCCATAACTGTCTGGCCAGAGGCGTGCCTACACTACAATTAAAAACCGCAACATATCTCAGCCCCTCCTTCAGAGCGCAAGCACTGTACTTCCCACCTTCAGCTAACCGGTTTCCCTGAATCCTTTCATAAATGTTACTTTGCTCACACCCCAACAGCACGTCAAGTTATAAAAATGATTTGCCTCCACTCACTGAAATCAAACACGCTTATTCACTCTGGTTGGAACTAAACCTCCTTTACCCCTCTCTCTCCAACCTTTCTTAGGGTGACCCTACCCTGCCTTCATTTCACTACAGATTAATACGTCCTCCATGTCATTAGGTTTCGTTCCATTCTCTCTAAATGTCCAAACCACTTCAACAGCCCCTCCTCAGCCCTCTGGTTAATACTTTCAGAAACCCCGCACCTACTTTTAATCTCCAAGCTACGGATTCTCTGAATAATATTCACACTGCACGTTGCTCTCACACACGACTGCCTCCAACCTTCTCCTTATTGCAACATTCACCACATATGCTTTCACACCCATTGGTACCATTATACTCTCATATATTTCCTTCTTTCCTTCCTTGGATAACGTTCTTTGTTCCCGAGTTTCCTCAGTACACTAATCACTCTTTTTCCCTCGTCAGTTCTATGATTCATCTCGTCTTTCATAGACCAATTCGCCGACAAACCCACTCCGAAATATCTGAGTACATTCACTTCCTCCATACTCCCTCCCTCTCATCTGACATCCAGAACTCTTCACCGTAGCAGCCCTAGATTTTATTCTGTTTACCATTTATCTTTGGATTCTATTAGGAATTAAGATACCCATCTGCTCACCTATACATCCAATCCTTTCTGACGCATTTTGTGCAGAATTACCACATGATCTCACTTGTCAAAGGATTTTGCAAAATAGGTGAACATTATATCTGCATTTATGGCTCTCTGACCGCGGGTTCTAACCCCACCCGTGGTATGGTTTGTTTGGAACCGTGCCATTTGCGATGAGTCATATCTCCATTTTGCTTGACCAATGTATCCAACTCCATACTTAATGTTCCAGAAAATGCGAGAGGCAGTAGCAACTTGCACTGAAACCATGCTGACCTGGGTTGTGCAACTACTGCCATTGTAAACCACGCATCCTCTATTAAATGTCTGATTCTACAAGTTTGACAGTGAACTATATTTCATAATTATTTCCTAGGATCTTATAGTGTTCGAGTAGGAGATAAGTGAGACAGAATGAAATGAGGAATAGTAAAAGCAAAATCATACACAGCATAAAAATGTGTGTAGAACAGAGGGTGTCTGTGGGTTATGAATGATTAGGTCAGTGATCCAATCAAGTCACTTACGGAATTCAGCCCAGAAACCTGCCATTCCATTTCTGTCTACCTGAATTCTTACCAATAGTTTACACATGGAACAGTGTATGGTAGGCTGGTTGCAAAAATGTTGAAGGTTAGAGTATTTCACTGCACAAGGCCTGTCGTAGGATAACTGACTAGGCTGTTAATTGATCTGCACATTTGGGCAGCTCTTAATAATATTAATACCCAACTTCACTCTCACTCAGGACCTTTCGTTACTGGGTAGGCAGGAGCCTGTTGCTCCCTTAGCCAGAGGGCACTCATGGCTGGCTGGAACAAGTGCCCGTTGCTCACAATCGTATAGGTTGTGAGAGGTACTAAGCTAGATTACTCTATATCTAATTCTAGGCTTCATTACTAGTCTCATAAATTAAGAATGGAAAGGGGAACATGGCAACCGCTCATAGGCATAGGTGGGTATGCTCGTTCTTCCCCCCCTCCCCTCATTCCCCCCTACTCGTTCTTTCCCCCTCTCCTATCCCCCTACTTAGGGAGGTTTTAAAGGTCTGGAAAATCAAAAGATGCGTGTTTTTCCAAACTAATCTCCACTTCCACTGTTACTTCATAAAAGACTGCAGAAAACTGCGAAAATGATCGACAGTTATGTATATATTTTTCCCACCAATCTCACCAACATTCCCTTCAGAAGAAACAACAACATCGCAGCCATTACTTCGATTACTACCAAGAACCTGTCCAGACTAGAAGTAAAGATAGCCACCATGACACAAATAGAACAGGAGTCTGTACCACTCCTTGCAATGGATATGACGAACGTTACATCGGTAAAAACCTCACGGGACAGTGTCGCATAAGTCATGCATGTATATGGACTCATAACATCATTACACAGAACAAGTGTAGCTTCATGTTAGGTAAATCTTTAGCTCCACCATACTTGCATGTAATGTAGGAACCCGGGACCCAATGGTCTGGTATCCTGCATTGTTCCCTCGAGCCCAGATACTCTGCTGCACCTCACCTACCTTACTCTACCTGTACACATATTCATGTTTTTTTTCATCTATTCAGTAGTGATTTGATAGATCAGTCATGAATAAATGTATCCACTGCAAGTATCATTTGAGTCACATGGTCGGTATTTACATACCTTGCAAATTGTAGATAAATACAACAGCAGTTGCTGATAGGTAAAGTAAACAATGAATATACAACTAAATGATTTTAACTGGTTAATTATTTTTAGATAATTAAATCTACATACTTAGAAGCAATTATTTACAACAAGGTTATTTTAAGTAACTCTTTACAACTAGGTAGTTACGAGCAGTTAACTGCAACTAGAAAAATACAAATAAGCAATCACAAGTAATTGATAACAGTTTGGTAAATGCAGACAGAGAACTACAGTTAATTATTATTAGGTGATTACAATTGATTAATTATAATTATAAAATTATAAGTCACTACTTACAATTAGGAAATTACAAGTAACTAATAACTATTAGGTAATTACAGCTAGGAGATTACATAAAAAACATACAGGTCAGGTGCTAAATTCCTCCCTTTTCCGTCTCCAGCATCGAGACAACGATGATGATACAAACCATACCTCGGGCGGGATAGAACCCACGATCAGAGTCATAAAACTCCAGACCGATACTTTAGCCACTAGGCCAGGTTGCTACAATAAGATTCATCCAACTAGATATATTTATACATCATAGGAAGGTTAGCATAAGCACCACTGTGCCAATGCTAACTCTCTTACTGCGGGTTCCATCCCCGCCCGTGGTATGGTATGTTTGCAATCGTGTCATTACGATTTCGTGAGTAATGATAATATAGTTACTCACTTGACTCAGCAGGTGTTGTGGTGTAAGACAGAGCCACCAACACCACGGCCACCGCCATGAACGTCAGGTATCCAGCCATCACACTCGGTGTCCTGTAAGAAAAAACTATCAGGTCATCTCAAACAATCTGAGCCAGTCAAAAGAGACAAATTAATATCGCCTGGGAAGTAGTCAAGCAGGAAAACTAATTTGAAATAGATATTTCAACCATGGCAACAGTAGAAAAAAAATTGTCATATCTGTAAAGTAATGTAGAGAATCAAGTTATAAATCTGAAAAAATGGAGTAACACTCAAATGAAATGAGACGGAGGCATGTGATTAGCTCCTGGAATGTCAGCGTTTACTAATGAGCAAAACCTGGTACGTGTGTGTTGGTTGCTAGATGTGCATTACAATGTATATGAATTCAGATATGTTGCATGCATGATCTTCGTGTGTTTGCCAAGGTTGATTACACAAGAATTGTTAGTATTATTTGTGTGCAGTGCACGGATATGTTAATGATACGCTGATAAAGCATTTATATAAATATGCATAACACACAACAATAACCACGTAATTAAAAATGACAAAGACGTCCGCAGCATCGCCTGGTATAGCACATAGTCAGCAATCAAACAGGAAGTCGAATACAAACTAAGATGCACAAAGGCAACTGTTAGCCAACTTTGCGAAACCCACCAACAGATCCAAGGACAGTTTAACATCTCTCAACCGGTTAGGAACAACTAAGAGGCAGAAGTAACTTACGTAGAAATAGTTACATGTCCCTTTACTTCAGAACTTCCCCGTCTACCATCATTGTTCCATTGCCACTAATAATAATAGAATCTTCTACCTCTTTCTCTTCTCTGTTTTCTCTGTAGTACTAGTAACAGCGTTCGTAGAAGTAGCAACAGAAACACCAGTGATAATGATAAAGAAGTATATGTAGCAGTAATAGAATTAAACTTAGAAATAATAGTATAGTGTGCAGTTAGCAATCCTGTTGAAAGTTAAAGGACTAAGCGACCCTTAATTAACTTCCTTGGATCAAACCAAATTAAATCCCAGTTACCACGAAATGTATGACTCTTAGTTTGGCTTGTTCCCGTGAATATAATAATAATTAGAAGTATACACAAACAACCCTCACATAAGAGAGAGAAACTTACGTTTCGGTTCGACTTGGACCATTTACAAGGCATTCTGGTCTTTGTACAATATGAGGAATGTATCCCCATGTGGTATTAACCCAGCTCTCTCTACCTCAATATAAACAAATGCAGCAGTACAAAATGCAGCTTAAGGGGCACGTAAGTTCCCTCGTTTTCTAACAACATGTTATTAGAAGACGCGGGAACTTGCGTACCCTTTAAAGTTTCATATACAATTAAATATCAACGTTAAAAATTTAAAGAGAAACAGAAGAGGCGCTCACAAGGTATCACAATTTCTTAAATGAAAATGAAAATTGGCACATAAACAGCACAGAATTCAAACCATATATTATGGAACACCATTTTTGAAAGTTTATTGACTTTAAATTTGAAATTACTCAAAAGTTCCAGTCTCAAGTTATCTGTATTGAATGCTGAAGCCAATCTGATAAGGCTCTTATAAATAATTGAAAATGTAAACATGTAAATTATCATTATTTCTTGTATAAAACTGATAAATTGTCGTCTACACTCACAAAAAGTCACTTGTGTAGGTAAGTTACACGAGCGTTAAGGGCTGCAGCCAATCAGGAGAGGCATTCTTCAGTTATTGTTCAGAAAATAATTAGTCATTATAATTGGTAAATTCAGAATTAAACAATAAAAATTCATTGCAAAATTTCTTGCGAAGAAAACACATTAGTGCTTAAAGTTTGAATCCGACATGAAGATGCATTTTTCAGCTGCTCCACAGAAACCAACAAATCCAAGCAACTAAATAACTCGCACATAGCAGAATGAAACTTATGACAACGTTTCGGTCGGAGTTGAACCATTAACAAGTTACACAGTTAATGGCTAGTTATTGACTAGTTTCATTCTCCTATGTGCAGGATATTTGTTTAGTGTTAGTCACGGAAATGTGCACTTTTATTCTGTAATTTCAAGTACAGGGATACAAAAGGGATGCACTAAACACAACCCATACAGTAGCACCAATGTCCACATAACCCACGCTTTAACACTGCCCACACAACCTACACCACTGCTCACACAACCTACACCACTGCTCACACAACCTACACCACTGCTCACACAACCTACACCATGCTCACACAACCTACACCACTGCTCACACAACCTACACCACTGCTCACACAACCTACAACCCCTGCTCACACAACCCACACCACTGCTCACACAACCTACACCACTGCTCACAACAACCTACACCACTGCTCACACAACCTACACCACTGCTCACACAACCTACACCACTGCTCACACAACCTACACCACTGCTCACACAACCTACACCACTGCTCACACAACCTACACCACTGCTCACATCACTGCTCACACAACCTACACAACTGCTCACACAACCTACACCACTGCTCCACAACCTACACCACTGCTCACACAACCTACACCACTGCTCACACAACCTACACCACTGCTCACACAACCTACACCACTACTCACACAACCTACACCATTGCTCACACAACCTACACCACTGCTCACACAACCTACACCACTGCTCACACAACCTACACCACTGCTCACACAACCTACACCATTGCTCACACAACCTACACCACTGCTCACACAACCTACACCACTGCTCACACAACCTACACCACTGCTCACACAACCTACACCACTGCTCACACAACCTACACCACTGCTCACACAACCTACACCACTGCTCACACCACTGCTCACACAACCTACACCACTGCTCACACAACCTACACCACTGCTCACACAACCTACACCACTGCTCACACAACCTACACCACTGCTCACACAACTACACCACTGCTCACACAACCTACACCACTGCTCACACAACCTACACCACTGCTCAAACAACCAACACCACTGCTCACACAACCTACACCACTGCTCACACAACCTACACCACTGCTCACACAACCTACACCATGCTCACAAACCTACACCACTGCTCACACAACCTACACCACTGCTCACACAACCAACACCACTGCTCACACAACCACACCACTGCTCACACACCTACACCACTGCTCACACAACCAACACCACTGCTCACACAACCAACACCACTGCTCACACAACCTACCCCCACTGCTCACACAACCTACACCACTGCTCACACAACCAACACCACTGCTCACACAACCAAAACCACTGCTCACACAACCTACACCACTGCTCACACAACCTACACCACTGCTCACACAACCAGCACCACTGCTCACAAAACCAACACCACTGCTCACACAACCAACACCACTACTCAAACAACCTACACCACTACTCACACAACCTACACCACTGCTCACACAACCAACACCACTGCTACACAACCAACACCACTGCTCACACAACCTACACCACTGCTCACACAACCTACACCACTCCTCACACAACCAACACCACTGCTCACACAACCAACACCAGTGCTCACACAACCTACACCACTGCTCACACAACCAACACCACTGCTCACACAACCAACACCACTGCTCCACAAACCTACACCACTGCTCACACAACATCACCACTGCTCACACAACCAACACCACTGCTCACCAACCAACACCACTGCTCACACAACCTACACCACTGCTCACACAACCTACACCACAGCTCACACAACCTACACCACTGCTCACACAACCTACCACCACTGCTCACACAATCTACACCACTACTCACACAACCTACACCACTGCTCACACAACCTACACCACTGCTCACACAACCAACACCACTGCTCCACAACCAACACCACTGCTCACACAAACCTACACCACTGCTCACACAACCTACACCACTGCTCACACAACCAACACCACTGCTCACACAACCAACACCCCTGCTCACACAACCTACACCCCCTGCTCACACAACCTACACCACTGCTCACACAACCTACACCCCTGCTCACACAACCTACACCAATGCTCACACAACCAACACCACTGCTCACACAAACCCACACCACTGCTCACCACAACCTACACCACTGCTCACACAACCAACACCACTGCTCACACAACCTACACCACTGCTCACACAACCAACACCACTACTCACACAACCTACACCACTGCTCACACAACCTACACCACTGCTCACACAACCAACACCACTGCTCACACAACCACACCACTGCTCACACAACCTACACCACTGCTCACACAACCTACACCACTGCTCACACAACCAGCACCACTGCTCACACAAACCTACACCACTGCTCACACAACCTACACCACTGCTCACACAACCAACACCACTGCTCACACAAAACCCAAAACCACTGCTCACACTACCAACACCACTGCTCACACAACCTACACCACTGCTCACACAACCTACACCACTGCTCACACAACCAACACCACTGCTCACACAACCAACACCACTGCTCACACAAAACCCACACCACTGCTCACAAAACCTACAACACTGCTCACACAACCTACACCACTGCTCACACAACCAACACCACTGATCACACAACCTACACCACTGCTCACACAACCAACACCACTGCTCACACAACCTACACCACTGCTCACACAACCTACACCACTGCTCACACAACCAACCCACTGCTCACACAACCAACACCACTGCTCACACAACCTACACCACTGCTCACACAACCTACACCACTGCTCACACAACCAACACCACTGCTCACACAACCAACACCACTGCTCACACAACCTACACCACTGCTCACACAACCTACACCACTGCTCACACAACCAACACCACTGCTCACACAACCAACACCATGCTCACACAACCTACACCACTGCTCACACAACCTACATCACTGCTCACACAACCTACACCACTGCTCACACAACCTACACCACTGCTCACACAACCTACACCACTGCTCACACAAACCTACACCACTGCTCACACAACCTTCACCACTGCTCACACAACCTACACCACTGCTCACACCCAAACCCACACCACTGCTCACACAACCTACACCACTGCTCACACAACCTACACCACTGCTCACACAAAACCCACACCACTGCTCACACATCCTACACCACTGCTCACACAACCACACCACTGCTCACACAATCTACACCACTGCTCACACAACCTACACCACTGCTCACACAACCAACACCACTGCTCACACAACCAACACCACTGCTCACACAACCTACACCACTGCTCACACAACCTACACCACTGCTCACACAACCTACACCACTGCTCACACAACCTACACCACTGCTCACACAACCTACACCACTGCTCACACAACCTACACCACTGCTCACACAACCAACACCACTGCTCACACAAACCCACACCACTTCTCACACAACCTACACCACTGCTCACACAACCTACACCACTGGTCACACAAACCTACACCACTGCTCACACAACCAACACCACTGCTCACACAACCTACACCACTGCTCACACAACCTACACCACTGCTCACACAACCAACACCACTGCTCAAAACAACCTACACATAAAAACCATAGCCCTCATACCCTACACAATAACACCACTGCTCACACAACCTACACCACTGCTCCACACATCCTCCACCACTGGTCACACAACCTACACCACTGATCACACAATCTACACCACTGCTCACACAACCTACACCACTGCTCACACAACCAACACCACTGCTCACACCAAACCAACACCACTGCTCACACAACCTACACCACTGCTCACACAACCTACACCACTGCTCACACCACTGCTCACACAACCTACACCACTGCTCACACAACCTACACCACTGCCCCACACAACCTACACCACTGCTCACACAACCAAAACCACTGCTCACACAACCTACACCCCTGCTCACACAACCTACACCACTGCTCACACAACCTACACCAACTGCTCACACAACCTACACCACTGCTCACACCACTGCTCACACAACCTACACCACTGCTCATACAACCTACACCACTGCTCACACAACCTACACCACTGCTCACACAACCAAAACCACTGCTCACACAACCTACACCACTGCTCACACAACCTACACCACTGCTCACACAACCTACACCACTACCCACACAACCTACACCACTGCTCACACAACCTACACCACTGCTCACACAACCTACACCACTGCTCACACAGCCTACACCACTGCTCACACAACCAACACCACTACTCACACAAACTACACCACTGCTCACACAACCTACACCACTGCTCACACAACCTACACCACTGCTCACACAACCCAACACCACTACTCCACAACCTACACCACTGCTCACACAACACACACCTGCTCACACAACCTACACCACTGCTCACACAACCCACACCACTGCTCACACAACCAACACCACTGCTCACACAACCTACACCCACTGCTCACACAACCAACACCACCGCTCACACAACCTACACCACTGCTCACACAACCTACACCACTGCTCACACAACCTACACCACTGCTCACACAACCTACACCACTGCTCACACAACCTACACACTGCTCACACAACCCAAAACCATGCCTTTACACAACCTACACCCCTGCTCACACAACCTACACCACTGCTCACACAACCTACACCACTGCTCACACAACCTACACCACTGCTCACACAACCAACACCACTGCTCACACAACCTACACCACTGCTCACACAACCTACACCACTGCTCACACAACCAACACCACTGCTCACACAACCTACACCACTGCTCACACAACCTACACCACTGCTCACACAACCTACACCACTGCTCACACAACCTACACCACTGCTCACACAACCTACACCACTACTCACGCACCTACACCACTGCTCACACAACCAACACCACTACTCACACAAACTACACCACTGCTCACACAACCTACACCACTGCTCACACAACCAACACCACTGCTCACACAACCTACACCACTGCTCACACAACCTACACCACTGCTCACACAACCTACACCACTGCTCACACAACCTACACCACTGCTCACACAACCTACACCACTGCTCACACAACCAACACCACTGCTCACACAACCTACACCACTGCTCACACATACCACACCCCGCTCACAAACCTACACCACTGCTCACACAACCTACACCACTGCTCACACAACCTACACCAATGCTCACACAACCTACACCACTGCTCACACAACCAACACCACTGCTCACACAACTACACACTGCTCACACAACCTACACACTGCTCACACACACACCACTGCTCACACAACCTACACCACTGCTCACACACCCTACACCACTGCTCACACAACCTACACCACTGCTCACACAACCTACACCACTGCTTTACACAACCAACACCACTGCTCACACAACCTACACCACTGCTCACACAACCTACACCACTGCTCACACAACCAACACCACTGCTCACAACCTACACCACTGCTCACACAACCTACACCACTGCTCACACAACCTACTAATGCTCACACAACCTACACCACTGCTCACACAACCTACACCACTACTCACGCAACCTACACCACTGCTCACACAACCAACACCACTACTCACACAACCTACACCACTGCTCACACAACCTACAAACCCCTGCTCACACAACCAACACCACTGCTCACACAACCTACACCACTGCTCACACAACCTACACCACTGCTCACACAACCTACACACTGCTCACACAACCTACACCACTGCTCACACAACCTACACCACTGCTCACACAACCAACACCACTGCTCACACAACCTACACCACTGCTCACACAACCTACACCACTGCTCACACAACCTACACCACTGCTCACACAACCTACACCACTGCTCACACAACCTACACCACTGCTCACACAACCTACACCACTGCTCACACAAACCCAACACCACTGCTCACACAACCTACACCACTGCTCACACAAACCTACACCACTGCTCACACAACCTACACCACTGCTCACACAACCTACACCACTGCTCACACAACCTACACCATGCTCACACAACCTACACCACTGCTCACACAACCTACACCACTGCTCACACAACCAACACCACTGCTCACACAACCTACACCACTGCTCACACAACCTACACCACTGCTCACACAACCTACACCACTGCTCACACAACCTACACCACTGCTCACACAACCTACACCACTGCTCACACAACCTACACCACTGCTCACACAACCAACACTGTCATAACGTTATCAACATTGTTCCAATAAAATTTACTCTATAACTACACTGCAACAGCTGTGTCTGCATTATCCGCCCTGAAACCAGGATTTTCGTACACATCTTCAGGTTTATCTACACTACCAGAGGTGTATCTACACTACCAGTGATGTGCCTACACTAACAGTGATGTATCTACACTACCAGAGGTGTATCCACACTACCAGTGATGTATGTACATTACCAAAGGTGTATCTACACTACCAGTGATGTATCTACACTACCAACGATGTATCTACACTACCAGTGATGTATCTACACTACCAAAGGTGTATTTACACTACCAGTGATGTATCTACACTACCAGCGATGTATCTACACTACCAGACGTGTATCTACACTACCAGTGATGAAACTACACTACCAGTGATGTATCTACACTACCAGAGGAGTATCTACATTACCAGTGATGTAACTACACTACCAGTGATGTATCTACACTACCAGAGGAGTATCTACACTACCAGTGATGTATCTACACTACCAGAGGAGTATCTACACTACCAGTGATGTAACTACACTACCAGTGATGTATCTACACTAACAGAGGTGTATCTACACTACCAGTGATGTATCTACACTACCAGTGATGTATCTACACTACCAGAGGTGTATCTACACTACAAGTGATGTGCCTACACTAACAGTGATGTATCTACACTACCAGTGATGTATCTACACTACCATAGGTGTATCTACACTACCAGTGATGTGCCTACACCAACAGTGATGTATCTACACTACCAGATGTGTATCCACACTACCAGTGATGTATTTACGCTACCAGAGGTGTATCTAAGCTACCAGCGAGGTATCTACACTACCAGAGGTGTATCTACACTACCAGAGGTGTATCTACACTACCAGAAGTGTAGATACACTAGCAGTGATGTACCTACACTAACAGTGATGTATCTACACTACCAGAGGTGTATCTACACTAACAGTGATGTACCTTCAATACCAGAGGTGTATCTACACTACCAGAGGTGTATCTACACTACCAGAGGTGTATCTACACTACCAATGATGTATCTAGACTACCAAAGGTGTATTTACACTACCAGTGATATATCTACACTACCAGAGGTGTATATACACTGACAGTGATGTATCTACACTACCACAGGTGTATATACACTGACAGTGATATAACTACACTACCAGAGGTGTATCTACACTACCAGAGGTGAATCTGTACTACCAGAGGTGTATCTACACTACAGTGATGTATCTACACTACCAGAGGTGTATGTACACTACCGGTGATGTAGCTACACTACCAGAGGTGTATCTATACTACAAGTGATGTAGCTACAGTACCAGAGGTGTGTGTACACTACCAGTGAGGTATCTACACTACCAGTGATGTAGCTACACTACCAGAGGTGTATCTACACTTCTAGTGATGTATCTACACTACAAGAGGTGTATCTACACTACCAGTGATGTAGCTACACTACCAGTGGTGTATCTATGCTAACAGTGATGTAGCTACACTACCAGAGGTGTATGTACACTACCAGCGAGGTGTCTACACTGCCAGTGATGTATCTACACTACCAGAGGTGTATCTATACTAACAGTGATGTATCTACACTACCAGAGGTGTATCTACACTTCTAGTGATGTATCTACACGACCAGAGGTGTATTTACAATACTAGTGATGTATCTACACTACAAAAGGTGTATCTACACTACCGGTGATGTAGCTACACTACCAGAGGTGTATCTACACTTCTAGTGATGTATCTACACTACTAGAGGTGTATTTACACTACTAGTGATGTATCTACACTACAAGAGGTGTATCTACACTACCAGTGATGTAGCTACACTACCAGAGGTTTATCTATGCTAACAGTGATGTAGCTACACTACCGGAGGTGTATGTACACTACCAGCGAGGTGTCTACACTGCCAGTGATGTATCTACACTACCAGAGGTGTATCTACACTAACAGTGATGTATCTACACTACCAGAGGTGTATCTACACTTCAAGTGATATATCTACACTACCAGAGGTGTATTTACAATACTAGTGATGTATCTACACTACAAGAGGTGTATCTACACTACCGGTGATGTAGCTACACTACCAGAGGTGCATCTATAATACTGGTGATGTAGCTACACTACCAGAGGTGTATGTACACTACCAGAGATGTATCTACACTACCAGTGATGTATCTACACTACCAGAATTGTCTCTACTCTACCAGTGATGTATCTACACTAATAGAGGTGCATCTACACTACCAATGATGTATCTACAATATCAGAGGTGTATCTACACTACCAGAGGTGTATCTACACTAATAGTGATGTATCTACACTACCAGAGGTGTGTCTACACTACCAGTGATGTATCTACTCTACCAGAGGTGTATCTACTCTACCAGTGATGTATCTACACTACCACAGGTGTATCTACACTACAAGAGGTGTATCTACACTACCAGTGGTGCATCTACACTACAATAAGTGTATCTACACTACAATAGGTGTATCTACACTACCAGAGGTGTACCTACACTACCAGAGTTGTATCTACACTACCAGAGGTGTATCTACACTACCAAAGGTGTATCTACACTACCAGAGGTGTATCTCCACTACCAGAGGTGTATCTCCACTACCAGAGGTGTATCTACACTACCAGAGGTGAAGCTACACTACCAGAGGTGCATCTAGACTACAGATGTGTATCTACTTTATCACAGGTGTATCTACACTACCAGAGGTGTATCTACACTACCAGAGGTGATGCTACACTACCAGAGGTGCATCTGCACTACAGATGTGTATCTACTTTACCACAGGTGTATCTACACTACCAGAGGTGTATCTACACTACCAGAGGTGTACCTAAACTACCAGAGGTGTACCTGCACTATCACAAGAGTATCGACATTACGACATGTGTATCTACACTACTTCAAGTGTATCTACACTTCCAGCGGTGAACCTACACTTCCAGAGGTGTATCAACACTATCACATGTGTATCTACACTACCACAGGTGTATCTTCACTATAAGAGGTGTCTGTATACTTCAACAGGTGTCTCTGTCACAGGTGGTCTTATGGAACAATCTACTCCTACTACCGTTAAACATAAGTAACGTAAGAAAAAGAGTACTTAACTTGAGGACTTGCTTCGTGTGAATGTGATTTTATTTTCATTCAGGTGTTTATATGAGAGGGAGCTCCTAGCATACTTAGTATTCTGAGGCCAGTACTTGCACAATGTTCTAAGAACCAGACGGTAAAGAACGAGAGCATTCGTAGCTCGGCGCCAACAGTAGCATCAACGGAATTATTAAAGAGAACATCTTCACCCTCCATGGCTTGTCTTGCATATACATATACATATATATAGATATCGATCCTGTATGATCGATTGCTGAGTGGATAAGGTGACATGTACATTGCGTGGCCTTTTGAGGCGGAACGATGTGTCGTGGGATCGAATCCTGACCTGCCGCAGTTGGTAAGTGATATATATATATATATATATTATATATATATATATATATATATATTATATATATATATATATATATATATTATATATTGTGTGTGTGGTGTGTGTGTGTGTGTGTGTGTGTGTGTGTGTGTGTGTGTGTATATATACATATATATATATATAATTTATATATATATATATATATATAATTATATATATATATATATATATATATATATACATATATATATATATATATATTATACATACATATATATATATATATAATATATATATATATATTATATATATATATATATATATATATATATATATATATATATATATATGTCGTGCCGAATATGTAAAACTGGTCAATTAGCAAGAACTCATTTAAAATTAAGTCCTTTCTAAATATTTCTCTTATACGTTTAAAGATATGTATTTTTCATTAATGTTAATGTAAAAATTTTTAATTTTGCACCAAAAGCATCTTAGAAAACTTACCTAACCTTATTATAACAAGAACAATTTATTTTAGCCTAATCCAACTAAATATATTTTAGATTTGTTTACAATAATTTAATACCAATCAAACACAGTGAAATATATTTTTTTCGTTAGGTTCAGAATGATTTTGGAGTAATTATTGCAAACACAAATTTTCACTCGTCTCATAAGCCAAAATCGCAAGTTCTGCCTATTCGGCAGGACATATATATATATATATATATATATATATATATATATATATATATATATATATATATATATATATATATATATATATATATATATATATATATATATATATATATATATATATATATATATATATATATATATATATATATATATATATATATATATATATATATATATATATATATATATATATATATATATATATATATGTCGTGCCGAATAGGCAGAACTTGCGATCTTGGCTTAAATAGCAACGCTCATCTTGCCATATAAGACAAGCGAAAATTTGTGTTTGCAATAATTTCGTCAAAATCATTCTGAACCTAACGATAAAAATATATTTCACTGTGTTTGTTTAGTATTAAATTATTGTAAACAAATCTAAAATATATTTAGGTGGGTTGGGCTAAAATAAATTGCTCTTGTTATAATAAGGTTAGGTATGTTTTCTAAGATTCTTTTGGTGCAAAATTATAAATTTTTGCATCAACATTAATGAAAAAAATATATCTTTAAACGTATAAGAGAAAATTTTAGAAAGGACTTAATTTTAAATGAGTTCTTGCTAATTGACCAGTTTTATATATTCGGCACGACATATATATATATATATATATATATATATATATATATATATATATATATATATATATATATATATATATATAATTGTGTCACTCTGCCCCTTCATCACAGGAATCACAAAGGTAGACCCAAGAAAAATTCCACTGAAAACGAGAAAATTTGCGTACTGGCTAGCAAAAATTCGAAGAAGGTAACACAGTGGGCGCAATCAGAATAATTACCAGTGAAGACACTGTAGATCCCAAATATGAGACCACAGCCCAAGCACTAAGAGACAAGCATCCAACAAGGGACACCATAGTCGTCGACAACAACCCGGAGGAAGACCCCGTCACTGAACAATTAATTTTGCCAGAATCAGCAGTCTGGAATTCGACCACAACACCCCAAAGAGATGGTAAATCCAGTACTCGGCACATCTGATCAGTTCTTCTCACCGACTTATCAACTTTCGTCAACAACTGCCTGGCTGGGCGAATCCCAAAGAAATTAAATCTTTCTTTTTTGGATCCTCATTATGCGCTTTGTAGAAGGATGGGGGAATCAGACCCATTGCTGTTGGTAACACTCTTCGCTGTCTCGTTATCAAAGTAGCAGTAAGAAATATTCACCCAGAAGCTGCCAGTTTACTCCAGCCACACCAACTGGGCTTTGGGGTTCCTCAAGGCAGTGAAGCCGCAACTCATGCGGCAAGAGCTTACATTAGGGATCTACCAGAAGATAAGGCCGTAGTCTAACTTGATTTTAGAAATGCCTTTAATATGGTGAAGAGAGCTGTGGTCTTGCCAGCTGTTCGGGATCAGTTCCCCAGTCTTTTTCCCTTCAATTCAGCCGGCTACAGCAAACCCTCAACTCTTTTGTTTGCCGAACATGAAATTCCCTCATCAGAGGGTGTTGAGCAGGGTGATTCACTCGCTCCACTTCTCTTCTGCTTGGCAGTAAGAGAACTAACTTCCAGCCTATGCAGCGAGCTCAACATCTGGTACCTGGATGATGGCACTCTGGTAGGTACTGAAGAGTCCCTTTTAGAGGATCCTTCCAAGTGTGAAATCACAACCAACCAGGAAATAATCAATGCTGTGCAAACAATCCTCCCGAAGTCTCTACTACCATTCCATCCAAGCACCGCTGGGTCACAAGGCCATCGACAGAGTCCTCAAGGACAAATTGAATAACCTAAAGAGAATGGAGAAAAGAATAAGCAGTCTTAATGCCCATGATGCCCTGTATCTCCTCACAAGGTGTCTCACTATGCTAAGATTCAATTACTTCCTGAGGTGTGCACCATCTTTTGACAACCCAACACTCGATGAATATGACGCACTCCTGAGATCAACCTTTAAGAAGGCACTGATTCTGTCAGTAGAAGATCAGCAATGGGATCAAGCAACCCTCCCAGTGCGACTTGGAGGTATAGGGGTGCGCAAAGCAACGCACGCTGCTTTACCTGCATTTCTGTCTTCGTGTTTGGCTTCCAGTGGATTAGTCAAAAAGATTGTCCCTGAACGCTTGAGAGACGCGGTAGGAGCTCAAGACCCCAGGTTCTCTGAAGCAGCCAGGCGGTGGGACACCCTTGCAGACTCCTCCAATAGACCAGCTCCTCCCAAAGAGAACAAACAGTCCCATTGGCACAAACCGATCATGGAAAAAATCGCGAACACAATGTTCGCCAACGCTTCAGGAAAGGACAAGCTCGTCTCCTGGCAGTTAAGGTACCACACTCAGAAGATTTCCTTCTAGCTGTTCCCATTTCCTCCCTGGGCACTCGACTCGACCCACAGGCCATTCGGATTGGTGTTGCTCTTCGCCTAGCCGCCCCAATCCTCACCGAACATAGGTGTATTTGCGGCAGGGTGATGGCTGATCAATTTGGACTTCATGGTCTCGTGTGTCACACAGCAGAAAGGAAGTATGCCAGACATGAGGAAGTCAATGACATCATAATGAGAAGCCTCGCCACAGCCGGCTGCCCAGCCCAAAGGGAACCCCAAGTGCAGAGGTCTGATGGAAGTCAAAAACGTCCCTGGAAGAATGGAAAGCAGATTGCCTGGGACTATACCTGTGCTGCCACATTAGCAGACACCTACTTGACATACTCCTTAGGTGAAAGGGGTTAAGCTGCCAGCCACAGGGAGACCCAGAAGACCAGCAAATATGAAGACCTTCCCCCATGCAATAACTTCATTCCAATAGGGTCGGAGACCCATGGAGCATGGGCAAGGGTGCTTTAAAGTTCCTCAAAGACGTCAGTTTAATAGTTTAATATGTTTATTATGCACCCCATACCCATCCTGTGGGCGGTAGTCAAAAGATTACAGAGGTACATAATTGGCCCAGGGACTGGACTCCAAAGTTTTGATAGCTGAGCAAGTTACAAAGGTAATGAGCTAGATCTGGTCATAATCATGACCAAGTTACAAAGGCAATGAGCTCCAGGTAGAGCTGGTCACACATGAATAATTGCAAAGGTAATGAATCATGAACACATTAATCATGAGAATTTACAAAGGTAATGAGCTCCAGGTAGAGCTGGTCACAATCATGACAAGTTTCAAAGGTAATGAATGATAAACGTTATGACATGATTACAATCATTGACAAATTACAGAGTAATGAGCAGTTAACAAACATAGTAGGGAATTCATCCATTGCCCCAACAACAGATGTTGCTAGGTGCCTGTCTCTCCTCGGCAGACAGCCATTGCAAACAACAGCAAGTTGCCCAGGGATCTGCTGCTTACAGGAGCACCATCGACCCTCCCCAAGAGGTCCAAGAAGCCAGTGACTCCGTTAGTAGCCCGATGGAGAGCTGCCCTAGGGACATGTCAGCGTCCTGGTGGACGCCAAGTTGATTGAAGATCCCAGGCCCTCGTGTGCACGGATGTTGAAGCTTGAGAAACTGAGTACACACTGCATGTGGCACACCTGACAGCTGCCTCGCGGTCGAACTCCACGATGCTGTCCCTGTAGTGGAAGTTCCTGTGAGCCCGGCACTCCCTGCAGTGCCATCGCTGACATCGTGGGTTAGGGGAGAAGTACCCTCTACAGATGGGGTGGCGCTGGGAGTTGGGTGGGTGAGGCGGGGTAGACGCGCAGGAGTGAGGCGTTATGAGAGGGTCACTGTTTACTACCCACGCCCTCCCCCTCCCCCCCAGCGGAGAGGGGGGTAGGCGCTGACTGGTCCTGACTCAACAACACCAAACCATCTAAAACTGCACAACACTTCAACTATTTACGCTGAAACGATGCACTTGGATGTCCGTTCGCTGCTCTGGTATCTTCTCAAAGCATTCACACTGAGTTCTGTTAACTAGGGACCTGGTCATCCTCTTTGACCAGGAGCTATCCTTGAAAATCCCGCAGCTAGACCGCTACACA